TTATCACACATCCTGTCTAGCCTGTATGGATTTCTTCATAGGGGCGGGGAACCAGGGAAACGGGGGTAGTGGGCGTGGTAGCGGTCCTGTCCGACTGCCGAATGATAAATGATTGCCATAAATAAATGCGTTACGGGTAAGGCCGCCTTTTAATCGCTTGGCACATTTTATATTTCTTTAACATTAATCATTCGCTGTGATTTTCGCTTTCTCTTTCACCTTTCTTATATATTTTTCATATTTTTCGGGAACATCATTTCCCATCTAGTTGGTTTTAATTTATTAAAAAAGTTTCCGGCCCCAAGACGTTTTCAGGTATTGATAAACTTTTGCCAACCTCGGCATTAATTATGTATCCGAAAAACGGACACGAAACCATATTAAATCTAATGCATTTGGCTTGTTGTTAAATTAATGCGTTTACCATATTAATATTTTATGCAATTTAGCCTTGATTGTGGCATATATGCATTTGTTGTGGTTAATTTTGATTTAAATGCATCGTAGTGGGGTGAATATTACCCGTTTAGGGGTGGTTTTATGCCCTTCGGACCTTTTTTTGCGAAGGGGAAATCAAGTTGCTAGCCACATGTTGCCATGTTGCAGGAATATTTTCGGAGTAAATGTTGAAGCGACGGCGAATTACTTTTTGAAAAGTGCGCATAAATCATATTTCTCATTAAATCTTTTTTTATGCAAGAACCGACAGTGTAGTCATTACAATTACCTTTTTAATTAATTGTATGTTAACATTTTTTCAATACTCACTATGTTGGGGAAATTGGTTTGACCGTAATCAGAATTTTAATTGCGTAAGCTACAAACTGCAAATAATTTACGACAATACCTATTTCAGCCATTGTTGTTTCATTAATATTAATACAACATTTTACAGGCCATTGACTACTTATTTAATTGTAATTTGTGCAATTCCGTATTCAGCGAACGCAACACTGATGCGGCTTAATAAATGCAATATTTAATCCCGATGCTGAAATTAACAGTTCGAGGCTTCTGGACAAATTTCAATTTAGCGGCGAGCATATGAAAAATAAATAAATTACCATAGCCACGTCAGTCGCCTATTTCATTAAGTTGTATTATAAGTGAATGCAAACAATTATGAACTTATGAGATAATTAACTGCAAAAACAAAGTCATTTGCATAAGTAAGTCAATAAGCGTAGAGTAATTATAAATTATAACGGATTTCGCTTTGTTTATCTTATGTAATCAGCTTTACGAGCTTAAATAATTAACGTTGAATATGTTTTAATTAATTATGTATGCGAACTAACGTTAAAATATTCGATGTTCAAGTTAATGAAATCGCGTGGGATTTTCGAGCATTCAATTTTATTTGTTTGCTCAAATGTCCTTACAGGTCAACATTCTGCTCTTTTTTTTTTGTTTTTGGCGGGAAAATAAGCACCATTGAGAGTTCGTTAACAGACGCGATATGGGCGCTCATCTATATGAATCTCATGAGCAAGCTGTCATAAAAGGGTGCTCCAAAACCCCATGTCCCGGTAACTACTCCATGCCCACCTCCAATCCGATGGCACAGACTGTATTAATGCGCTTCATATGTCAGCAGGGGCCATTCATCATCATTATGCTGATGCCAACTGAATGGCTGGCTGCCTGAAAGCTGGTAGCTCGTTTGTGCCAAACAGGCCGACAAACAAACACACACGTAGTTTATGAGAGGAGCTCATCAGAGCAGCCGGAGAAATGATTTTGATACGAGTCTGAACTGGGAAAGAAAAAGTTTAAATAACTTTTACCCGGCTTCATGTCGCAGCATTTAAAATTTACAAACGTTTCTCCACTGCCTGCCCGAGTCTGTATGTAAATTGGGGGACGAGTGAGGATTCCGGATGGGGGGGAAAGTCTGGCCTGGTGGAGAAAAAAATAATCCCAACTTACTGCCTGTTGTTATGTGAATGCTCTTGTTGTTGGTGGGCCTTGTTATCAAAACGTTCTCGCTTAAACTTTATTAGTTTGACATGTGTGCTTTTAGAATTTCAGGCACGTTTGATGAAACGTAATCAAACAAGCCGCAGAGCATTTTTTGTCCTCATTGGATTTTATATACCGCATAATGGCAGTGTTTAGGGGTATGCTGGATTTAACATGTTAAGCTTAAAATGAGTTAAATACTTATGATAACTATGTAAACTAAACATTTTAAACCTTTTTTTTTATCCTTTAATGTATGCAACATAATTTGCTTGCGGATTATTGGGTATCTTATAGCCATATCACTTAACTTGGACTTATCATTTGCTCTTTTTTGCTGATGAGCCCATCCAGACTTTGGCATTTTTAGGAAAATTTAAAGCTAAAGAGCAATCTCGGGCCCCTTAAGAGCACTTGTGCTAATACTTGCCGTAACTTACAAGTTGTAAGTAAATGTAGCTTACCAGAGCGCAGACTGATGCAAAACTTTGCTCGGCGACATGTGAGTCCTTTTGTCCCCACGATGCCTCTCGATGCCATGGCAATAGTTAAGGCTTAGCCAGTTGGCAGTGTGTCGTTGTCGCTCGCTGAACATTTTAATCGGCAGGAAATGATGTGAAAAACTTTTTAATCCCTTTAAATGGCAACTTTTCAATGCGAGTAGGAGAGCCGAGCGTTAAAGCGCTGCCAGTGGAGCCGGAAAGGGCTTAAAACGGGCAAAAGTCATGAAACTTAATTAGCCACCCACTCAGGTGGGAGTCGGCAGTTAATTTAAATGCGCCTTAAAGGTATATTTATTGGCGGCATTTGACTTTCGCCCGTGAGATTTAGTGCTTTTAAAATCTTTGATGATAAATAAAATTTGCAGCTGCTTAAATCTTCAACGGGCATACACACGACCCATCCTTAAATATATACGTATATATGTTTAGGCTGATAAGCACCTGCATATTCATAATTCAGATAAGTGTCGTCAGTCGGACCAGTTGCAACCCTTGCATCCGCCCAGCGGAGCATTAGAGCCACCTAAATTCATGCAAATTACGTTAAAGTGGAGAAGCCCAAAGGCAAAATTCTGGGAGGAGCCAGTGCACCAGGTCGTCCTGCAAAATTGTGTTTCCATGCTCGGGCATAAACGTGTGTAAAATAATATTTTTGCACACTCTACGCCTATAAAACCATAAAATTGCATAATTTATAAATTTGAATATCTCACACAGAAAAAGGGGAGGCGACCAACAAAAGGTCTTGACTGTGGTATGAATTTATATGAGTGGAGAAGAAAGCCCAAGGAGGTAAATGGCAAATAGGCAGAGTCAAACGTTATTGCTTCGACCGAGCATTTCAAACACAATTTGGCCAGCTGAAATTCGAGAGGAGACAGAGCCAGTTTTGTTTCAAGTCAGTCAGCAGAATTTGTGGTCGAGCACATGAGTAAAGTAATTTGGAAACGAAAGTTAAAATGTTATAAATGCCTTTTTGCGTTTCGCCAGGAAAACAATAACAAGGCCGGTCAATATTTATTTCAAATTGTGAATTTCCTGTGACTTATTCACATTGAAATCCCATTGACAGTTGATACTGATTTCTTGATTACACGCCACACTGAGACCCACAACGTTCGAGAGTAAAATAATAATTTCTGATTTATGGCTTACCAACATGCCGGTGTACTCGTATTCGTACGAGTATTTTTGCCAATTTAATTGATATCTGGCCTGCAACTGAATTTTGTGGCATTTCTTTCTAATAACTTCTGCTGCCCTCTGCGGTTGCACTTTTCGGGGCGTGGCAAACTAACTTTGCGGCCCCTGAACTTCCATGTTTATTTTTATCGCACTTCCTTGACGCGTCGAGTTTCAAAGTTTTGCGAACAGACAACTGCTAGGGCTCGGGTTTTCTAGCAGCACACGTGTAAACACACATGAGTTTGATTTTTGTAAAGTGCTCTCTGTGAAAGTTGCCAGGCGGTAACCTCGACATGTTTATGAGGACCCAAACTATGGAGTTCATGGACTACCGCAGCTAGTAAATTGATAAAAGTTTCAGTCCTTTCCGCGTGCATAAATAATAGTCAACAGTAAGGAGTTGTGGAATTGTTTCCTTTTTGAAGAGTCTCAATAAACATCCCCTTTCTGGATTTCAATAAATATAAAGTACTTCACAAACCAAACCTTGTTAATTAAATGTTACAATAAAAAGCTAACAATTAGTAACAGTACATCGTATCATTTTAATAATTGTTAATCTAAGAATTTATAGAGTCAGAACTCGTTGAGTTCGCTTGTTTTGTATGACCTGCCATTAACAGCTCCTTACGGATGTAAATAATAATTATTATTTACTGCAACCTTTTCCAGTTAGACGTGACAGCGGATTAATAGTGTCGACACACATTTCGGGGGAGTAAATTATACCAAATATCTCGAATGCCTAGGGCCCTTAATTGTCCTACGGTCATCAAGTTGTGGCTGCCTGCCAATGTCCAGATAAAATGTGTGTGGCAAACTATTGTCTCGGCGTTCCAGGAACAAGGAACTCAACACGGCTCGACCCTCGAGTGCGTGCTACCGCAAGTATTTAAAATTGTTTTGGTAAGTGCTGGGTTGCAGCCCCACTTCCACTTCTATCGCCACTGCCACTGCCACCTCCACTTTTTGGCTGCCAGCGTTTGGCAGCAGGTGATAAAAGTTCAAAGTCATGTAAGCCACGTTGCTGGGTTTCGACGGGTTGAGGGGTTCGAGGAGGCAGAATCTGCTTTATATTTGAATTTTCCCATCGCTCGCACGCAACTCGAGTGTCGGGACAACAAAATGGATTTCATCCTGTAGACTCGCTTCATTTTTCAACTCGTTCAACTTGGCGGCTTGTGAAGTTGAAACGTTTCAAGACAAGAGCAAACAGACTGCGCTTTTCTAAACCGAGCTTCTTTTCCGCCCCGTCCCCTCAGAGGTTTTTGCTCTAAACATTGAAAGAAAGTGGTTTACAAATGCTGTTTTGTCACCTCCCTCGTTCAAACCATTACTTGTACTATTAAATTGTTTTATCCATACATATTATTTATTCGTAAACAATTACAGCCAGAATTGGATATGAAGCTTAACTAGGTATTGAATTTAGGTAATATTTTCTTATTTGTAATGTTGTCAGTAAACTAAAAGCGTTTATCCTGAAAGGAATTTACCAGAAGTGAGTATATTCAGTGGGTATTAAACTCCAAGATGGAAGTATATTCCTAAATGGAAAAAGATTCCAAGATGGAAGTAAATTCCAGCTGCACTTGCAAATTATACAAAACGCGGAAGAGAGCCTTAAATTCCTCCGCAGGGGAACAGGATGCATCCAGTGTTGCTTCATATTGTTGAATTCCTTTCTTTCGATAATGTTGTCACGATTACGATCAAAGATGCAGAAGATCACATCCGTGAGATGCTCGGACAACTTAACGCCGGACACCACATGCGATATATGCCGAAGTGTTTCGGGAGAGATATCCGCACCGGTTAAGTAATAGAAGGTTAGAGCATGATCTATTGTGTTTACATCCTGAATAAAACGAAAGAAGGCCAAGAACTCCTCGAGGGTGATCCCCCGTTTCATTTCCCCAAACTTTTCTTTGACTCTCTTTAGGGTTTCAAGTCGCTCGCTAAAGTTTCTGTATCCCAAAACCACTTTGGCAAAGTCCACTTCGGAGATCACAGATCTGAAAATTGTCAATCAAATAGAAGGTAATAATAATAGTCAACTTATATTTACCTAGACGGCTTCAACAGATTTTGGAACTGCAGCTTATGAATTTCTGTGTGTAATTCGTGTAGGAACGCCAAAAATTCGTTAATACTCAGAGTTTTATTTAGATACGGTCCAAAAAGGTATCTTTTTAGATGGCTATTCACCAGGGAGGCTTCACCTTTTGTGATTGTCATTAGGACAGTTTCCAGATCCTGGATACTAACGTCTCCATCTCCGTTTAAATCAAAGAGCTTGAATCCAATCCTAACTTTCCGCTCCGGAATACAAAGCAGGATGCTCAGTAGCATATAATCGCTGTAGGTGAGCAAACCCTTTTCCTCGAACTTCAAAAATATGCTATCCTGGCTCACAGAAGGCTGCCATTTGCTGGCCGCCTTCTCGTCCAGAATGTGGTACTTGTCCAGGCCATAATTCTCAGGCTGCTTGACTCCGGGTTGGATTGATCGCAGGAAATCGGAGGGAGTCATATATAGTTCCCATTTATCGGACTTATTCTTCTTTTTAATAGTGGCAAAGTACCGGAAAATCTTGAGGGGATGCGAGTACATTTGTAACGGCGCCTGTAGCGACCAGATAGTTTAGTTCGGCCTAGAAGCATGCTTTAAAATATATCTAAGCTCGGCTTAGTGTCTTAGCTAATTACACATATGTTTGCTAAATCAGCTGTAACAGAGATGCAGTGGGAAGCTCGTCTTAGACATCTGGTGTTATCATCTGTGGCGAACTTCCGACCATACCCTAGCCTAACACTACCTATATTTGGTAAGGTTCTTTTCTGACTGACATCCGATATAAGCAGACGTGCCTTTTGCATTACTCCAACAAAGTTTTTATTTAAAAATATTATATATTGAAATCGTGGAAAATAATAAGAGGAATAAGTGCAGCGAGCCTAGCTGAATAATATTTTTGTGATTAATTTTGGAAAACTATTGCGATGTAAGTGGTGGAAGTAGATTTTTTATCAATTCTAACCCCAGATTTTCTTTAGATATATATGATATATATATTTCTCACGTGGCCATCAATATTGGCATCCGTGGGAGCACCCCTTCAAGACAGTGGGGGGCATGATTGTATATCGTGCCCCAAATTAAATCGGATAAGGAAAATTAAGGAATAAGAATCGGAATTAAAGGAAAAATAAGGAGTTTCAACTGGAATTAAATTCAAGAATGCAGCATTAAAGAAGTGATTTGGAGAGATGTTTAACCCTCTCTACCCACGGCAGCAGCAGCAGCAGATTTAGTATAGCCAAATATGGACACAAAAGGGAATGTATAACCTGGAATTTCTTTTAAGCCGCTACTGCGATTTTTTTTAAAGTGAAATATTATAATTAAAAATTTGAAAGTTTTGAAACGTGCCAAAGTGAAGAAAATTTAATGAATCAAAGATAGCAACATGCCGTAAAAATCAAGTTTAAGTGATATTTTCTAAAGTCTGAATGATTCAGTCTAAAACGTAATATTTAAATTAAATTAAATTTAAAACTTAATTTTTCACGAGTGGAGTTATTTACGCATCGATTTTGTTTTGGAAAATTCGCTCAACTATGACTTAAAAGCGATAAATTAAATATTTATTTTTTTTTTGTAAATTTAAATATAATTTGAAAATAGCAACTTCTGATAAGAAACAATAGTGAATATTAAATTTAAAAATGTGGTTAAGTGAAGATATCACAGTCGCTTCTCAGTAAAATATGTAGGCCTAAAAGGGTTCCAAGTTAAAAGATTTTTATAGAATAGTTTTGTGTTTTCGAGCCCCAATTTCACCCTTTACAGCCACCTGCCCGGGAGATCGATCTTTCGCCGCTGGAACAACGTATAAGCTGTGAGTTTATTATTCTCATTATTGCATTTATATCTATTCTATTTATATCTTATTGCGAAATACTCTATGAAATAATTTTTAACAATCTACTTGAATGAAACTGTGAATTTAAAAGAACCCTGAACCGATAGCCTCACTAAACTAAATTAAATTAAACAAAAAGATATCAAACAGAATGAAGATGATTTAGTGAAATAAAAAAATAAATTAAAGCAATGAAATTTAAATATCTATTGTTATACCAGAGTAATATTTTTTATTGGTGAAGTACGATATCTGAATACCCTATATTTTTCTTATTTCTTATCTTTTTAAATATATACGAACATTATAACTACTTTAATTTATGAGGATAACATCATTTAAATATTTAAGTATCTAAATAGTATTTTTATCGCCTGTATATCATTTATTATATTTATATAAAATTTGTAGTATCTACCTGTTAGCAAATAACAATAATGAATTCTTGTATAACTATTAATTAAATTGTATTTGAAATGAATTTCGAGTAGTTCACGTTTTTTTTAACTCGGCTGATGCTTCCACAATCGTAGGGTATTAGGGGTCACCGGAGTTTAGCTCTGAAGGATGGTGATCATAGGTAGGGTGGGCATTTCGCGACCACGACAACATCTGTGGCATCGCTGATTCTAACTTTTCTCGATCCTTTCTATCTCTTGTTTTTTTTGAATTTTATCTATTTCTCTTCTGATTTTGATATCTCGCATTTATTTTCGTCAGCACACTCAATTCTGGTCTTAAAAATAATAATATGTAGCTAGTGTGCGGATTTGTCTAAGCAAGACCTCCACCCCCAAAGCAGACGAGCGAGAGCCGGACCCTATAGTGTGCACCCGCAAGGACAGATCCTAGAACTCACCACAGAATACCTTCGTTACACGCTACAGTTATAATATCATTATTATTATTATTATTATTATTAAGTAAGGTGGCGCCCAACGTGTGGGGCCTTAGTGAGTACAGTATTACCTCATTAAGACTCACCGATAGATAAATTCAATCTCTTTTCTTTCTTTCATTTATTTCAACTTTAACTTCTGATCAAAATCTCTTATGTTGATTTTTATTTATTATGGATAACAGAGCAAGTGAACATTAGTTTCCGTCTGGCCTTAATTAAAAGTCCGTGTAAGAATTTTCCTTCCTTTTGTATGTGATGATAAGGAAAACTTAGTCTGAGGAAAATACAGAGAGTATCAAATTGCGATTGATCTTCTGGCCCTTGCTGGTTTACCAAATCACTACAATATTCACACTTACTTAAATAAATGCTTTCTTCAAGCTTAGGCGTTTCGGAAAATAGAGGCATTGTTTTACTGAAGTGCCCTATCCACGGTTGACTTTTAGAAAGAATTATTTATAATTTTTTCTTAGAGGAATTAGACTTATGTGAGTTGAGACTGGAACATAAGAACTTTTTTTTTTAAGAATAACTTATCCGTTTCATATTTATTAAAGCCTAATTACTTCCCTTATTGAATTTTCTTGTAGTAAGAAAGGCAAGAAATTCACTTCATCTGTATTCTTTTCTTCTTTCCTGAGAAATGTTAGTAGTAAATAAAATTTTTATCCTACGAGTTGTGGACATCAAGCTAGAGTTAAAGCTTTATCTTTATTATTATAACCACAGTTTATATCGTGAGAGTTACCGATTGTTGTTGAAATCATTTGATATTAATGATACAACATTTTTTTTTTTATCTTTTTATTTCTTTTTTGAGCTGTTGTTGAAATCATTTGGTATTAATGATACAACATTTTGGTTTTAAATTATTTTGGTTTTGAGCTGTTGTTTAAATCGTTGGAAATTAAGGATACAACATTTTGTTTTTTTTGCTTTTGTTATATTTTTATAAATTTTCAAAATGGGATTAGACCGTTCTCCGGGAAAAGCATCGCAAGGAGGTGCAAAGCCAGTCTGTCCGTTATGTAAAGCAGATATTAAGGCAGCAACCGATTTATTTGAAACTGTATGCCATCACGAATTTCACAAGAAATGTATTGAGGCACATTTGAAGAAAAGTGAAAGCTGTCCAGTATGCAGAATTTCTTGCAGGCCAGTAGCCGAGAGTAAAGGTTTACAAACGCGATCCCAATCTAAAAGTCGTGGCACAGAAAGTATTGATGATAGAAATATATCTGAAAACGTCCCTGGTACGTCAGGAGGCGCTCATAGTAGTAGCAGTAGGGATGTAGATCCAGCTAATGTTGCTAATGCAATGACGTTACTCTCAATGGAGCGAAGACTGCTCACAGTGTTGTCAGAGAAAATGACTGAGTTAATACAAACTTCAGTGAGTGACAGTATTCAGAGATTAATCTCCCCTCCATCTAGCTCCAATGCGAATGACAGAGATAGGTCAGCTACTCCACCACCCTTAGACCGACCAATTTCTGGCAATGAACATATCCAAAACACAAATTTTGTCGCGCCTAACTTAGGTTCTCCAAGTTCTCATAGAAGTATCCCTTCTGATCTCTTAAATAGACCCGACAAGGTCGTGCATATCCTGAATGGATGGAAGATAAAATATTCCGGATCAGGTGTATCGATAGACAATTTTATTTACAGAGTCGAAGCGCTGACGCATCAGACACTTGAAGGCAACTTCTCAGTGCTTTGCAGAAATGCTAGCGTCTTATTCGAGGGCAAAGCCAACGAATTTTATTGGCGTTACCATAAATCGGTAACCGAAGTACGTTGGGATAGATTATGTTCTGCCTTGCGATTGCAATTTCGTCAAAAAAGGGACGATATTGATGTAGAAGAGTTAATCAGAAACAGAAAACAAAAGCCCAATGAATCTTTTGATAGTTTTTACGATAGTGTAAACGTATTAGTCGATCAGTTAGAAGTACCATGGTCGCCGAGAAAACTTGTCCGAATTCTCAAAAACAATTTGAGACCCGAAATACGCCATGAATTGTTGAATGTTGACATTTCTTCAGTATCTGAGTTGAGAGAAACTTGTCGTCGACGCGAAGCTTTTCTAGACGATGTCAAACGCTCTCACGGATACAGTAAAAACACACCGTTTAGACGAGAAGTCTCAGAGCTTATTCAAGAGCCAGATTCTCAGAATGGGTCCGAATCCGAAAGTGAATTAGAGGTGGACGCATTTTCCTTGGTATGCTGGAATTGCCGCAAAGAAGGGCACAGATACCAAGATTGCTTATCAGAGAAGCGCGTATTTTGTTACGGTTGCGGAACCGCTAACACCTATAAGCCAAACTGCGTTAAGTGCTCAAAAAACTTAAAGCCCGGCAGTTCGAAGTCGCAGTTCAAACCGAAGACTTTGAATGCCTCTCGTCACCAATCAACTATGACCGATCAGATGTGAATGCACCATTAGTCGCATCACCAACTTCCCCGGACGTATCAAAAAGCAATGTCGGCTCTCTACTGCATTGTAAACTTAAAAAGTTACCTCAGATTTTAACTCCTACTGTGTTTTCTGAACATCTCTTAGAAATCCGTAAGTCTCGCAGCGCCGAAAGAATTAAAAGGTTTTGGCAGAATGTTAAAAGCTGTAGGCTCGGGTTGAAATATATTTGTTCTCTCCCTACGGGATCAAGAGATCCACGACCATTTCTGCCGATTCGCTTATTAGACCGTACTGTTTTTGGTTTGCTGGACTCAGGGGCCTCAATAAGTTGTATTGGAGGAGATCTAGCTAAAGAAGTTATGGCGAATGATACCGAATACAAGCCATTAAACATTAAAGCCAAAACAGCAGATGGACGACCTCAGAAAGTAGTAGGAAGAATGGAAATTGACGTAGAATATGGAGACAAGAGAAAACCTTTAAATATTTACCTAGTACCGTCTTTGAAACATGATCTTTATTTAGGTATAGATTTTTGGAGACTATATGATCTTCTCCCCAAAAACCTTAATATATCAGAGTTAGAAACTACTATCGAAGCTAGCAGCAAGGTCGAAGTTGATCAACACGACTTGTCTGCTGAGGAAAAAGCAAAGCTTGGCAATGTCATCAATTGTTTCCCGTCATTCACGCAGGAAGGACTTGGAAAAACGAATTTAATAACTCATGCAATAGATGTGGGTGGAGCGAAGCCGATTAAACAGCGCCATTTTCCAGTGTCGCCAGCTGTTGAGAAGAGTATGTACGCCGAAATTGACAGGATGTTGCAAATGGGCGTAATTGAAGAATCGGAAAGCGCTTGGTCTTCCCCTATAGTGATGGTTACCAAACCTGGTAAAGTTAGAATTTGTTTAGATTGTCGAAAAGTCAATAGCTTTACAGAGAAAGACGCATATCCGCTTCCTCAAATCAGCGGAATTTTGAGTCGTTTGCCTAAGGCGGAATATATTTCAAGCTTGGACTTGAAAGATGCTTATTGGCAGGTGCCTTTAGAAATTAATTCTCGAGACAAGACTGCGTTTACAGTCCCCGGTAGGCCTCTTTACCAATTTAAGGTAATGCCTTTTGGCCTATGCAATGCCACAAGTACTATGTCTCGCTTAATGGACAAAGTCGTTCCAGCGCATCTAAGAAACGAAGTATTCGTTTATTTAGACGATCTTCTTGTGGTTTCCTCCAACTTTAACAGTCATCTTGACGTTCTCAGAGAGATCGCATTTCACATCAAGCGTGCAGGATTGACAATCAATATTGGCAAAAGTCATTTCTGTATGCAACGGGTGCGTTATCTTGGCCATATTGTTGGCGATGGCGGAATCCGAACAGATCCTGATAAGGTCAAAGCAATTACCGAATTTCCTGTTCCTAAAACTTTACGAGGTTTAAGGAGTTTTATGGGATTATGCGGCTGGTATCGCAAATTTGTACCAAATTTTGCCTCTCTTGCTTCTCCCTTAACCGACTTGATGACAACAAAACGTAAATTCTGTTTGACTCCTGAAGCACTGAAGGCATTCGAAGCGCTGAAGAGTCGTCTTAGTGAAGCTCCGGTATTGAGTAGCCCGGATTTTTCTAAGCCGTTCGCCATCCATTGTGATGCTAGCAAGACTGGTGTCGGTGCCGTCTTGGTACAATTATCTCAAGAGGGAGACGAACGTCCGATAGCTTTTATTTCGAAGAAACTAAATCGTGCGCAGAGAAACTATACCGTAACCGAACAGGAGTGCTTAGCAGCTATAGTAGCCCTGAAGAATTTTAGAGCATACGTGGAAGGACACGAATTTACCATCATCACCGATCACGCATCGCTCAAGTGGCTCATGTCCAATCATGACCTTAGTTCTCGTTTAGCTCGGTGGGCATTATCTCTTCAAAGATTTCGATTTAAGATTGAGCATCGAAAAGGTTCTTTAAACATCGTTCCCGACTCCTTGTCTCGCGTTAACGAAGATGAAGTAGCAGCATTAGATTTTCGTGAAGGGTTGCTGGTTGATTTAAATTCAGAGCACTTTAAATCTGCTGCGTATCAAGATTTGGTAGCAAAAGTTTCGGCAAATAAAGTAAATTTCCCTGACTTAAAAACAGAAGACGGCTATGTTTACAGAAAAGCAGAACATTTGACAGGTGAAAAGGTTCACGATGAATATGCCTGGAAGTTATGGATACCGACAGAATTGATACCTGAAGTCCTCTTCCAAGCACATAACAGTCCTTTGGCCTCCCATGGTGGCATCCATAAGACTATCGAGCGTGTTAGAAGATATTATTTTTGGCCTCGTCTTGTGCCTGACATCAAAGCACATATCAATGCTTGTGAGACATGTAAAACAACCAAATCACCAAATCAAGTTCTCAGACCGACTTTAGGAAAAGCACCAATAACTTTTAGGCTTTTCCAACGAATTTTCATTGATTTTCTTGGTCCTTACCCTCGATCGAGAAGTGGAAACATAGGCATTTTCATTGTCCTCGATCATTTCTCTAAATTTGTATTTTTAAAACCTGTTAGAAAGATAAATGCTGATGTCGTAATAAAGTATCTTGAAGGAGAACTATTTATGACATTCGGAGTTCCAGAAACTGTCGTATCAGACAACGGATCACAATTCCGTTCGGTAGCGTTTCAGAAACTTATGAAGCAGTACGAAATCTCACACACGCTAACAGCTGTTCACTCGCCTCAGGCCAACGCTTCTGAGCGCGTAAATCGTTCTGTCATCTCAGCTATTAGAGCGTACTTGCGTCCTGATCAAAAAGACTGGGATGAGTATTTGAACAAGATTTGTTGTGCTTTACGATCTTCGTTTCATTCTAGTATAGGTACCACACCATACTATATGGCTTTTGGTCAGCATATGGTTACTTCAGGATCAACTTACGCTTTGTTAAGAAAATTGAATATGCTAGACGACCGCTCGCTATTGTTTAATAGACAGGATTCTTTCCAGATAATTCGCGAAGAAGCTGGTAAACAGATGCAGAAAGTTCACGATCGTAACGAAAAGAGATACAACTTACGTTCAAGAGAAGTATCTTTTGTGGTAGGACAGGAAGTATTTCGACGTAACTTCAAGCAGAGTTGCTTTCAAACAGGCTACAACGCCAAATTTGGACCTTCCTTCGTAAAAGCCCGTATCAAAAGAAAGATAGGTAATAATTACTACGAGCTTGAAGATTTGCAAGGGCGACTGTTGGGTAATTATCACGCCAAAGACATTCGCCAATGACGTCACTCCAGGCGGTATCAGCCTAGGGTATCTAGAATAAAATACCCTAGTCTGATTGTGGCAGGGGGTTTTGTAACGGCGCCTGTAGCGACCAGATAGTTTAGTTCGGCCTAGAAGCATGCTTTAAAATATATCTAAGCTCGGCTTAGTGTCTTAGCTAATTACACATATGTTTGCTAAATCAGCTGTAACAGAGATGCAGTGGGAAGCTCGTCTTAGACATCTGGTGTTATCATCTGTGGCGAACTTCCGACCATACCCTAGCCTAACACTACCTATATTTGGTAAGGTTCTTTTCTGACTGACATCCGATATAAGCAGACGTGCCTTTTGCATTACTCCAACAAAGTTTTTATTTAAAAATATTATATATTGAAATCGTGGAAAATAATAAGAGGAATAAGTGCAGCGAGCCTAGCTGAATAATATTTTTGTGATTAATTTTGGAAAACTATTGCGATGTAAGTGGTGGAAGTAGATTTTTTATCAATTCTAACCCCAGATTTTCTTTAGATATATATGATATATATATTTCTCACGTGGCCATCAATATTGGCATCCGTGGGAGCACCCCTTCAAGACAGTGGGGGGCATGATTGTATATCGTGCCCCAAATTAAATCGGATAAGGAAAATTAAGGAATAAGAATCGGAATTAAAGGAAAAATAAGGAGTTTCAACTGGAATTAAATTCAAGAATGCAGCATTAAAGAAGTGATTTGGAGAGATGTTTAACCCTCTCTACCCACGGCAGCAGCAGCAGCAGATTTAGTATAGCCAAATATGGACACAAAAGGGAATGTATAACCTGGAATTTCTTTTAAGCCGCTACTGCGATTTTTTTTAAAGTGAAATATTATAATTAAAAATTTGAAAGTTTTGAAACGTGCCAAAGTGAAGAAAATTTAATGAATCAAAGATAGCAACATGCCGTAAAAATCAAGTTTAAGTGATATTTTCTAAAGTCTGAATGATTCAGTCTAAAACGTAATATTTAAATTAAATTAAATTTAAAACTTAATTTTTCACGAGTGGAGTTATTTACGCATCGATTTTGTTTTGGAAAATTCGCTCAACTATGACTTAAAAGCGATAAATTAAATATTTATTTTTTTTTTGTAAATTTAAATATAATTTGAAAATAGCAACTTCTGATAAGAAACAATAGTGAATATTAAATTTAAAAATGTGGTTAAGTGAAGATATCACAGTCGCTTCTCAGTAAAATATGTAGGCCTAAAAGGGTTCCAAGTTAAAAGATTTTTATAGAATAGTTTTGTGTTTTCGAGCCCCAATTTCACCCTTTACAGCCACCTGCCCGGGAGATCGATCTTTCGCCGCTGGAACAACGTATAAGCTGTGAGTTTATTATTCTCATTATTGCATTTATATCTATTCTATTTATATCTTATTGCGAAATACTCTATGAAATAATTTTTAACAATCTACTTGAATGAAACTGTGAATTTAAAAGAACCCTGAACCGATAGCCTCACTAAACTAAATTAAATTAAACAAAAAGATATCAAACAGAATGAAGATGATTTAGTGAAATAAAAAAAATAAATTAAAGCAATGAAATTTAAATATCTATTGTTATACCAGAGTAATATTTTTTATTGGTGAAGTACGATATCTGAATACCCTATATTTTTCTTATTTCTTATCTTTTTAAATATATACGAACATTATAACTACTTTAATTTATGAGGATAACATCATTTAAATATTTAAGTATCTAAATAGTATTTTTATCGCCTGTATATCATTTATTATATTTATATAAAATTTGTAGTATCTACCTGTTAGCAAATAACAATAATGAATTCTTGTATAACTATTAATTAAATTGTATTTGAAATGAATTTCGAGTAGTTCACGTTTTTTTAACTCGGCTGATGCTTCCACAATCGTAGGGTATTAGGGGTCACCGGAGTTTAGCTCTGAAGGATGGTGATCATAGGTAGGGTGGGCATTTCGCGACCACGACAACATCTGTGGCATCGCTGATTCTAACTTTTCTCGATCTTTTCTATCTCTTGTTTTTTTTGAATTTTATCTATTTCTCTTCTGATTTTGATATCTCGCATTTATTTTCGTCAGCACACTCAATTCTGGTCTTAAAAATAATAATATGTAGCTAGTGTGCGGATTTGTCTAAGCAAGACCTCCACCCCCAAAGCAGACGAGCGAGAGCCGGACCCTATAGTGTGCACCCGCAAGGACAGATCCTAGAACTCACCACAGAATACCTTCGTTACACGCTACACATTCTCAGTCGGTTTTCATACTGCCGGATAGTATGATCCCGGAAAGAAGCCCGATGAGAACTACTTGGACCATGTGGTAATTTGGAATGTTTAGACTTTTTTATGTTCGGAGGTCGCGTTTAAAACTAAAGACCATGGCCAAATAAGTTGTCCGCTTGCCAAGTTTTCCTTCTTCTTGTCACTCGAGAAGTGCGAGAAAATTCCAGAAGTGGAGCGAGCCCACAAATAAATTAGCGGCCAGAAGCTAGTCATCTTTTCTTTTTTTTTGTGATTTTTCAAACTATCATAAGCCAAAGAAAACCAGGAATGATAGAACTCAGAATTTAGCTAGTGGTGCGGTGAAAACGATTTAGGTTTGCTCAGAATTTAGGTCAATTTTCTTTCTTTTTTTTATAGTCGCAGCCAAACTCAAACTGATTGATGTTGCCAGGCCTCTTGCTGATTTTCCGCTTTCCCTTCGGACCACACACACTCGATGGAAAGCATTAAAAGTAATCAGCAGCGCAAATGTTTGCACTACGGAAATTCTGGTGGCGATGGTGCATGGTGCTTGGACTTTATAAGGCCCCAGGGAAATTTGCGAACAATAAACTGGGCGGTGCGGTGAAGGGGAAAAACTTTGCTTCGATTTGTGGATTTCCTCTAATTTCTGCACTGGATTTCTATGCATTTATGGGCGGTCAGCCCAGCCATTGTGCCGAGGTGCTCGGAATATCTGAAAAAGTTGCCCCCAACTTACGATTCTTGTCCAGGGTGCGACTGTGGAGCACTCTTCTCGGCAAGTTTCGTTTTCGAGGGCTCTTTCTGGTTCGCAAAAGTTTCAATGGGTCCTCAAGTTCTGCATTTGGCTAATAAAAGCAGGCCGAGATGTGTGAAAAGAATTTCTTTCCTGAAATTAATATGAAATTGTTTTATGAATATAGAATAACATCAAATAAAAATAATTTGTAATCAATTAGGTTGTTGTATGAGCACAGTTTTCATTTCGTTTTTAATAAGACAATAATAAATACAGACACAACATAATGCATGAGGAAAAGTAATTCTGAAATTATTCAATTGTTAAAAATATAATAAAGCTGGCATCCATTAAATGTATAACATATTTCAATAGTGAAAATATTCATTGTCTTGTTTCATTCAATATGCATCAAATGTTTACAATAAATATGTTGGTACGTAAACAAATGTTAAAAAAATTTATTTCAGTTTTTATTGTATTTTGCCAAACTGGTCGGGAATGTGAATTATTTTTGATTTTACAAATTGTGTATTTAATTTTCCAAAATCAAATTAGTATGTTATTAAAGAATGTTAATTATTAAATGCATATTAATTATATATTAATTGTGGCATTTGTGTGTTATTTAAGTATCACTATAACAAAATTCAAATGGCAATATGTAGCTGATTGTGTTATCCATAAAAATATCGTTGCACGAGCGTGATTTTTGTAAATGCTGATTGACAAACGGATTGATTCCTAGGCCATGTCCCGAATGTTAATTTAGACATGGTGTTTGACACTTGATTAAAGCCTGACACTTGCCGTGGAAAAAGTCCGTGCTGCTCCACTTTGCTCACGTAGGCCCATGGAAATTCCCAGGTGACGAGAAAGGAGAAGGGGAAGGGCGAAGGGAACGTGGCCAACCAGGTGAATAATGCTCGCCGTGGCACTTAAGCCGGGCCAAAAGTTTAGGCTTTCCTTTTGTCAAACGGCTGTCAACCCGAAGCTCAATCCTTTTGTCCGTTTCGTTGGCCTGGCATTCTGGCATTCGGGTGTCCTGGCATCGTGGCATTCTAGCATCATGGCATCCTGGCATTTGCATATTGCGAGTCTGTATGTGTGTGGTTGTGTGTGTGTGTGTGTGTTGCCGCTCACATAAACAACAATCAGAGCATAAACAAAGGTGGCGCCAAAGCCAGTGGAGCATTTGGGCGCTGCCAAAAATTAAGTTAAACAAAAAACAGCCGCAATGGCAGTGCAGTGAAAGTCAAACGGAAACGGATACGCCCCCAGGCGGAATGACAGAAATTGTCACGTTTCTGCTCTTTGAGTGTGGGTAACAAATAAGTAAAAACCCCTCCCCCTCGCCCCTTGCCCCTTGCCCCATCCCCTTTCCTGCCACACACACACACACCTCGTGTTTATTGCTTTGATTTAACATCAATTGTAAACTGCTTGCGTTTGTGATTTGTCATGTGTCACAACCTGAATGAGTGAAAATGAAAACGGGGAAAGTGGAAAGTGGTTGATGGAATGGCGGTATAGCCTACTTAAATGCGCGCAAAATTAATCTAGTTCTTTGCACCATACTTTGCACATGCACAGAAAATAATTAAAGGGGTTTGTAAGCAATTGAATTCATGACAAATTATTATATAAGTTGATACTATTAAAATCAATTTGGTCTGCTTTTAATCTTGAATAATAAAGGACATTTAAAAGTGAGAACACAAGGAATTCATTTAATATATATCATCCAATATCTCAAATATGGTTTTACCAAATGGCTTAGAAATAATAAGCACTAACTTTTTTTTTCAATGTGTAAAATCTGCGATGCTTTGCATATGCAAATGGCGAAACCGCGTTTCGTATTTGGCGGATTTGTCATGACCACTTGACACACACAGACTTCCCTTTCGTCATTGGCAGGATGCAGGAGGCATATGCCAAATGCAGTGGGGAAACTTTCGGTTTCACCCACTCGCTTTTATCGAACCGCTGCAGAGTAAGGGCTTTCCAATCGGTTGAGCGGAAAAGCCGGGAAATCGGTCGAGGAACTGTCTTTCTTCTCGGCGCGTTTCGCCTTTCCCCCCTTTCGGTGCCGCATTGCATTTCTTTCACTTGCCTGCCTCCCAAGACTTTTAATTTTATAAATTGTCTCGCATGTGAGCGAGCGAGGGTTTTCCTTTGTCGCCGGGCTGCCATTGTCGTCAGCTTAAGATTTTGATAAGCCATTGAAAAGTGTGTCTATAAGCACTCGAGCATTCAAGTGTCGTTCGCTTTGTTTGCCCTAACTATAAATGGCTTAATAACAGATTTCGCAGCGACAGTTGATGTCTTCAGTTCGCTTTTATTCCTTTTCTTTTTCTTTTGCATTTTTTTATATTTTTTTTAGCACTCTCCTACTTCACTCCTCTTACTATAATTTGTTTGCGTTAGCATGTCGATGGAAGAGGAGAATTATTGAAATTTGAGTGGACTTCAAAGCGATTGCAAAAATCGAATTAGAACGCAGAGCTAAATAGGAAAAAAAGACAATGTAAAGGGACTCTTGTCCGTGGAGCGTGAATTATGTGATTTATGGCGGCGGCTTGTTTGCCAAACGCTTCGCAATTACATAAGCACTCCCATTCTGGCCTCCTTATCACCGCATCGCAAAAAACAACCCCCCGAAATAGGCGTAAAATATGGAATAATATTCGGTCCATCGTATGTTTGCAAATATGTTTTGCCAAGAAACTTTTCGCGAGGGTTCAACTGGGGGTCACTTTTCGTTCAACACAAGGGTTTTTGCCCAAAAGGCAGGGTATTTGCGAACCTCCATCACCCATATGCTCGGTGGAATTTTATTTTTTTTGCAAATTTGTTGCCTCAATGGACACACAGCGCACTTCCGCATTCTCCCGGAGCTCCTTCCTTTTTGTTGTTCGGTTTGGTGTGCTCCGTTCCCGGGTAATAATTCTAGATTTATGAAAATTGTTTTTCCGTTAATGTTTGCCATGTTTTCGACGTTTTTATGTGGCTGCTCCAAGATGAAATTTACCCGGCTGCACACGCACTCATACTCTGCATAGAATCTGTTTCATTCTGCGGAAAATATATACAACTGAGAATAAAATTAGAGCTTTAGATAGAGATATATTGGCATTATTTCCTTTAAATCATATCGTCAAACACCACTAGTTTTTTATTGGAAATAACGATTTATTCAAGGTGGGGAATTTATTTTAATTTTCTTATTCGAATTTTGTGTATTAATATTTTCACCTCGTCTGTATCCACATGACTGTAAGTGTTGTACTTGAAGGACATGCTCCTGGAGTGAGTGGTCCGCATTCCTGGCTGAGGAATGTGATCCCCGCAATTTTCGGCCATTTCCATTACGGCTCTCAACTCCTTCCACCGAACTTTTCCCTACTGGATATGAAAGTTTTCGCCCAGACGCAGTTTGCAAATTTCGAAATTTGATTTCTGTATCCCACGAAAGGGTTGTTCGCCCTTTGATTAAATTTCAGCCAGACCCCCTGACATTGCCATAAATCTTTCACGACTTTCAGAGGGAGTTCGCTTAGGGTGGTGGCGCCTCGAAAATTGCTGCATACGTAGCTGGATTTTATGGTGCGTGTGCAGTTAGGCGAAAGTGCGTGGTAATGAGCGCTCGTCCTGCAAATCCCCCGCTGATAAATGGGCAAAGGACCAGCAGGAACCTAACTAGCACTGCTCCCAAACTTCTGCTCCTACCGGTAAAATCTCTGACCTGGACGCGCTAATTTACAATTAACTTACCTCGACAAAGGCAAACAAGCCACAAACAGCAACTGCATCGCCTGCAGTCGTTGCAATTATTATTGCATGCAAATAATTATTTGTGCCAATAAACAAATGCAATCAAATGTAAATTGATAATTATGCATGGCATGTGGCTGGTAATTACGGCCAAGTCTGGCCGTGATTGCGATTGTGGCCCATTGAATTGGCAAGATATCCGTATCCATTTGCCGGCTGCACAATTTCAATTACGAGTGGGGCCTGCTTTGGCTTTTTGCTCGAACTTCCACCTAATGCTCTTCCTGTGGCCAGCAATTTGGACCGCAATCTGTTTATAGTGTCAATTGTGAAAGTGAATTTATCTAAATCTACTTTTACAGCAGCAGTAGCAGCAGCAGCAGCAGAAGAGTAAGTTCACTGCCTGGCTGGCTGGCCAAATGCAAATGTAACGAGCGGTATTTGCATACATCGAAGTACCCAAGGATGGACTGGCCCTGCCTCCTTTTTTTAGCCCCTTATCCTGTTCTACTTCCACCGTTGAGTGTGTATTTTCCAGTAGCTGGAGACAAACAGATATCGATTTTGCTTCAGTGTGAGTGCGTTTCCTGCTAGTTTTGCACTTCCGCTTCCGTTGTTTGGTAAATTTGCAATATCCTTTTGTCGTAGCCAGCCAGCTTGCTGAGAAACGAGTTGACTTGGCACCATCTCGTCTTTGGGGCTAAAAAGCCAAGGCAACACACACCCATTAATGCCGGCTATTGACTTTCGACTACTTCTACATCTTCGAGCCGCTTGCTTTTCCGCCGGTCACTCGACTCTCTTTTGAGCCCTATATCTGCTTACGTTATTTTTTCCTTTTCGCTTTCCAAACTGGAAATGCACAATATTGCAGTATACAAACACGGTTTGTGATGGCCTTCGGCACGCCCCGA